ACCCAGGGGTCAGTGGGCACCCAGGGGGCACCCAGGGGTCAGCGGGCAGCGGCCGAGCCCCAGGGCAGGGAGGGGTGCTGGTGCTTCATGGATCCCCTCCTCCTCCTTCATCCCTCTCCTCCTCCTCCTCCTCCTCCTTCCTCCCTCCCCTCTTTCTCCTTTCTCCTCCTGCTCTCCTCTTCCTTCCCCTTCCTCTTCCTCCTCCTTCTCTTCTTCCTCCTCCTTAATCCCTTCCCCTCTTCCTTCTCTTTCATCCCTCTCCTCTTCCTCCCTCTTCATCCCTCTCCCTTTGTCCTTCATCCTTCCCCTCTTCCTCCTTGTCCTCTTTCTCCTCCTTCCTCCCTCTCCTCTTCCTCCTTCATCCTCCTCCTCTTCCTCCTTCATCCTCCTCCTCTTCCTCCTTGTCCTCTTTCTCCTCCTTCATCCTCCTCCTTCACCCCCTTCTCTCCCCTCCCACCTCCTTCATCTTTTCCCTCTCTCCCTCCTCCTCCTCTTCCTCCTTATCCATCCTTCCCCTCTTCTCCTTCATCCCTCTCCTCTTCCTCCTTCATCCTCCTCCTCTTTCATGCCTCTCTTCCTCCTTCATCCCTCTTCTCTCCTTTCTCCTTCATCTTTTCCCTCTCTCCCTCCTCCTCCTCTTCCTCCTTATCCATCCTTCCCCTCTTCTCCTTCATCCCTCTCCTCTTCCTCCCCTCCTCCTCCTCCTCCTCCTCCTCCTCACCCGCACTCTGGAATGTTCCTCCTGGCGCGGCCGCTCCGAATCCTCCGGAGCTTTTCCCGCTCCCGGTTTTCTTCCCCTTGTGGCCGCTGCCGTGGCTCGAGGATTTCCTGCCCTTGGCCTCCGCCCTGGCCACCTCCGAGCTGTCCTTGGTGGCCTCGTGGTGGCCACCAGAGCCCTGGGAGGGGACAGACACGGGGGTGACCTCAGGGACCAGAGCTGCCTGCACCCGGGGCTCCTTTTCCCCATTTTCCCGATTTCCCCCCAATTTTCCCTCAATTTTCCCGATTTTTCCCACAATTTTCCCAGCTTTTTACCCAATTTCCCCGATTTTTTCCTCAATTTTCCCGATTTTTTCCCCCGTTTTTCCCCCCAATTTTCCTAATTTTCCCCCCAATCTTCCTAATTTTTCCCCCAGTTTTCCCGATTTCCCCCCCAATTTTCCCGATTTTTCCCCCTCTCTGCCCACCCAGGGCACAAAAGTGACTTTGGGATCTGGGAATGACATCCCAGGAATTAACGAGGGAAGGGAGAGGAATCTCCAGCTCCAAAATCCTCCGGATTTGGCTGCGATTCCATCGGGATTTCACATTCCCAGCACTCCCATCCCACCTGGGGGATTCCCTTGGGAATTCCTTGGGATGGGACTGGAGATTTCCTGGGAGAATTTTCTCGGGAATGGGATGGGACTGGGAGAATTCTCTAGGGGAATTTCCAGAGAATTTTCTCATCCTGGGATGGGACTGGGAGAATTCCCTGAGGGAATTTCCAGGGAATTTCCTCAGGGATGGGATGAGAATGGAGAATTCCCTGAGGGAATTTCCTCAGGAATGGGATGGGACAAAAAATTCCCTGAGGGAATTTCCAGGGAATTTTCTCATCCTGGGATGGGATTGGGAGAATTCCCTGAGGGAATTTCCTCAGGAATGGGATGGAACAAAAAATTCCTTGAGGGAATTTCCTCATGCTGGGATGGGACAAGAAATTCCCTGAGGGAATTTCCAGGGAATTTTCTCATCCTGGGATGCCTGGGATGGGATTGGAGATTTCCTGGAGGAATTTTCTCATCCTGGGGTGGGACTGGAGAATTCCTTGAGTGAATTTCCTGAGGAATGGAATGGGACTGAAGATTCCCTGAGGGAATTTCCATGGAATCTCCTCATCCTGGGATGGGACTGGGAGAATTCCCTGTGGGAATTTCCTCAGGAATGGGACAGGAGATTCCCTGGGATCCCTGCAGCCACCCCAAAGCTCCAGCTGGGAATTTTCCCAGGGGTTGGAGCAGCACCAGATGTTCCCAAATCCCAGCAGAGCTGCAGGAGCTGGGGCAGAGAGGAGGGTGAAGGAGCCGGGCAGATGCCAGGAAATCCAGGATTTTGGGATCAGAGGGAGAAACGTGGGAATTCAGCAGGGGGGGGAGGGAGGGATGAACCCAAACCCGGATCCCTGGGGATGTGGAACCTCCCAAAAATCCCAAAATCCCTTCACGTGCAGAGCCCAGCGTCCCAAATTCACCCGGCTGAGGTGGCAACCAAAATCAACAAAATTCCTTTAATTATGGGATGGCCCGAAATGTGGGACCTTCCTGACATCCCAGCTCGGGATAAATCCCGGGATCCAAATCCAGCCCTGGATGGAACCCGACAGCTGCAGGCGCCAGATGTGCCAGGAATGCGACAGGAGGGAGGATGGGAACGGGGGAATTTCCCTTTTCCCACTTTTCTGGGGTGGATTTTCCTCCCCTTTTTCCCAGTTTTTTTTTTTCGGGTGGGTTTCCTGGGTGGATTTTCCCGCTCCCTTTCCCGGTTTCCCGGTGGATTTTCCTGCCCCTTTTCCCAGTTTTCCGGGTGGATTTCCAGGGTGGATTTTCCCACCCTTTCCCAATTTTCTGGATGAATTTCCCTGCCTTTTTCCCAGTTTTCTGTAGGGATATTCCAGGGTGGATTTCCCTGCCTTTTCCCAGTTTTTTGGCTGGATTTCCTGGGTGGATTTTCCTGCCCTTTCCCAGTTTTCTGTGGGAATTTTCCTGGATGGATTTTCCTGCTCTTTTCCCAGTTTTTTACCTGGATTTTTTTGATGACTATCCCTGCCCTTTGCCAGTTTTTTGGCTGGATTTCCTGGGTGGATTTTCCCACTCTTTCCCAGGTTTTGGGCGGATTTT